CTAGGACGTATGCAGTATGCATATTAGCCCCTGCGCGTCTACATAAACATACAAGTCTACACATAACATGTCGAGATAATGTTTTAGTGGTGCTGCGAAAGTGCAATAAAGCGCACTCTCACAGCGACCCGGTCCTCATATTATAAAGCAGTGGCCGTGTCTGCCTGGCTGGAGAGCCGCTGCGCCGGGCTGACGAGGAGCGCTCGAAGGAACTTCTGACCTGGCGAAAGGAGAAGTGGGCAAAAATGGGCCGCAGCCCAGCACACCAAACACGTAACAACACGTCTACCACGCCTTCTGGTGAGAGCTGCACGCCCTCGAAAGACAGCTCCGGGCTCTTCTCGATGTTTGCCTGGGGGCGCTCTTTCTTATCGCCTCCTTCCTCTGCGCCTGAGATGAGCGCGAGGCCAGAAGCTGCATGGGATTGGCTCCCGAAAACGGCGTCCTGCAAGCCAGGGGCGACGGCAGCCGGTCGCAGAGGACTGATACCAAAGAGCAATGAGCTGCCGCCTTCCCATGAGGAGCTCGAAGAGTATAGCACCGACCTCTACACTCCGGGCTGCACGAAAGTCCATCCGCATCCTAAAGTCTGAGACTTAGGCTGACCACAAATCTGCTTTCGCGTCATAGGGCTCGTGACCTCGACTCATGAAGCTGAGAGCTGCCCATCAACTAAGTCCATCTGCGGCCCCTGCGTAGGATCTCTGGCGCCATGTACAAGGGTGACCCGCACACCGTGGCAGCCTCGAGTGACATCGGGCCAACTCCTGCATTGGAGGCTGGAGCTCCGTGATGTTCGGGGCAGGGGCCATATCTTGCGGAGGAAGTGCTCGGGCGAATCCGAAATCCGCGATTTTGAGCACCGGGTCCATCGAGCCTGTGAGTCCGGTAATTACATGCTTTAGATGCCGTAGACACAGCAGCAGAGAACATATCTGCATGCAGCCTCTGTAGGTTCCGAGCGCCTGACTATCACTAAGTAAGATATTCTGCGGCTTCAAGTCGCGATGCAGCACGTTCACCTGGTGTAGCACCTGCGATGCAACGATGTACGGAGCAGCAATCCTAGTATGCTTGCGCGATGGCAAACGAACAAACCATACGTAGTCGTGGTCGACTACAGTGCGAAATTCTATTACGCCGATCGAGACTATAATGACTAGATTCGAACATGAAGGCCTGACGACCTCACACACGTCAATCAGGGAGCTGCACGTGCATCCGCGAATAATGACCGCGTAGGACAGCTCGACAAGGCATCTGGGCGTCCGGCAGAAAGCCCCTCTGCGATTTGGGTGAGAAACCGCCGCGCCGTCTGAGAAAGCCATCACATGCCGATATTCATGCTGCTTGACATGCGAGAGTGCCGCTTCGAACTGGGTGTTCGTGCCTCCTCTTGAACTCGACCCTTCCTGCACAGAGCCGCGACATGAAGACTCGGTGTTGCCATTTCGGCTCTCGCAACTCCCACCAGGCAGGCAAGGATTCCTTCTTGAATTATTCCCCAGTCTTGGGGCTGGACTCTCGAAGGAATTGTGACAAGTCTCCACCAGCACAGTACCTGATCGAAAGGTGTGCAATGCAAGCGGTTGGACGCCAAGGCAGAGCTTGCGGCACAGCCGATGGCGCACTCCAACACAAGGTAGAAGTGAGCGGCGCTTTTCTTCAGGTCCCGGAATCGCACCTTTCCGCGCATAGCATCGAGTCGGAAAGGCGGAACTGTCGACATGAGAGAACTGCAGCAAGGCAGCTATGTTGGGATGAGATATTTTGCGCAGGACCTGGCGTGTCGAGAAATCATTCCGGATCGTGACAGCATCCAGCACGACATGGGTGACGCATGGCCTCTACCTCTTGCCGCAGCTGCGCTGTCTCAGTCACGGTCTGTCGGCTGATGACCTAGGTGCAATTCGAGTGGTGCTTTGGAATTCTATCATGTCCAACTGTTTCTGCTGCCTTGACGGCGACAGACTCGTTGCCTCAGTTTAGGCTTGATGCCAGGCTCAAGTGGCAAGGCAAGTGTCCACTCGCCTTTTCTGTTTCAGGCAAGTCGCTGTCATCACGGCCTTTCCACACAGTGGCATAGGAACCCTTGCCGATCCGCCTGGCACTTCCCAGCTAGTGGTCTTCTTGTCTTCACTGGCCCTCCCATCTGCCTCTCAAGGCTGTACCCTGCAACCTGCTTCCGGGTCATGGCGCCGGTCTTCTCTGCCAGACTGCCTGCGCTGTGGAAATTGCTAAACATGATGGCGGGATCCTTGCAGCACAGCCATGCCTTGAAAGCCCAGTCTTCAAACAAGACCATGGGGGACAGCAGCTTCGGAGCACGGCGGAAAGTAATTATCTGGAGTCTGACTGCGAAAGCTCGTGTTCTGACGAGTCGGTGTGTCTCACTCTTTCAGCAAACACAGCACCTGAAGCCGAAAAAATGCCATCAACGGGACAGATCCGTCCTTGACCATGCTTGAGTGCTTGTCAGCCTTTAACAACAAGCCAGCACAGGCCACGACGAAAAAGAAGCTTTCTGTGCCAACCTGTAGTGTTGAATTTGTGCATGCTGTGTCCTTGCTGCCGTTGCAACAACGATGTTGTGGGCTAGCTGCTGACTGTGCGCCTGGCGCACCAGATGTGGTAACGAGATTTGGTGAAGGAGACGGCATGACGACGCGGGTCGCTGTTTTTTATTCAGCCAACACGAAAGGCGAGATTTGCCTGACGAATCCGAAGACTGCTTCTCTTGCAAGCAATGACTTCAAGAAGAGACTCTGCTTGAGCACTTTGGTGGCAGCATGGGCATTCTGAAAGCATCTTGCCTGCACCCGCCTAAGCTGCTAAGGCGTGCTTTTAGATCTGCGTCAGGCTAGTTCCTGACAGAGGAACATGGCCTGCAGTCTAAAAACCCATTCGTTTTCGGTTTGATCCATATACAACACTTGCAAGAGTCACAAGGATGGCGACAAGAGGCTGTATGCGAGGTCTTTTTTGGTATGTCTTTTATGGTTTTCGGCCTACTGGTCTTCGGCCCTCGATCGGTCACTTTGTCTGTAAATCCCACCGGCGGACTGTCGGCCCCGCCAGTCTACCCGGTTGCCTTCCGTGCCCGTTCAGGCTGTGGGCGTCGCAGCTTTGTGGCTTTACGTTCTTCATGGCACGATGTTCTGTAAAGCAAGCTTGCGCGGTCCAAAACAAAGCCGGGGGTTGGGCCTCTAGGACGGGCTTTGCAGGGCCTCATACGAGTTACGTGCTTGACTTGACATCGCAAATGGCCACATAGGGTTCTTGACGGTACGACCTTCACTAAAGCAAATTCACAGGGCTCGCAGCCCCCCGGCCCCCTTTGCAAACACAATGCCAAGGGGACTGGCGGTTCATCACATCTTGAACACCCCCGCTCGTTTGGTGACAACTCTTCATCCTCCTCCTCATCATCATCA